AGGGGAGGGCTTCTGCTCCCCAGCACCCTGTCAGAGCTCTCCTAGTCCCCCAAGGCTGCCTGTTTAGCCCCAGTCCTGACTGCAATTTCATTAGCCACAATTAACTCCTCCTCCCTGGAGGGCAAGGATCCAGGTCTCCTTGTACCAGGTTCTCAGTGCCAGGCACTAGTAGGTGCACAAGCATTTGCTAGATGAGTGAATGATGACGCCATCCATCTTCCCCCAGACACCAGAGAGGCCCTGCAAGGGCTAAAGCTCTGCAGGGTCCACATCTGGGCCTCCTTAATTCTCCAGTGACTCAGATCCTAAGTGACCATCATCTGGGTGCTTGTGCCTTTGTGACCATCTTCTGAGTCCCCAGGACCTTACAGACTCATTGATTCTCTGCACAAATGCAGCCTGTCCCCCAGATGGCTGTTCCTCTAACAAGCTCCATAAACCTCAGCTTCCCAAAGCTCGCAGCTCTGCTCCATGTCTTCTGGTCTTGGATCTCAACCCCAGGAGGCCACTGGAGCATGCTCTATCCCTCCTCCAAGCCCCCTGTTCCTAAGTCAATCTGCCACCACATCCTTCAGCAGAGCCTCCCAACCCTCCAGCTGTCCAGCCTGTTTCCAGCTCTGCCTCCGTAGTGCCATCCTGCCCTCCCTGATGCCCTTTGCTTTCTCTTGGCCTTCGGGGCCCAAATCCTCCTGGCAGCTCTCAGTTCTGGGAACCCTGGAACCCTATCACTCTACAGAACACTGTCTTTGACCATCAAGATGCGAGGAAGTGACCATTCTGGACACCTCCCCTTTTGGGCTTCTCTCACCCAGGAGTCATCCAACAGGGAGAATTAGTGATCGAGTGGTCTGTGCACATGATCCCCTGGCCCTTCTTTGTTGGCTCAGCACATCCAATGCCAGAGAGCTACAAGTCTCTGTAAAAGTCCAGTCTCTGGACTTTTACATAAATGTTGGAAAATAGGGGACTCATTGGGGCAGCTCCAATTTTAAGTTCAAGAAAACATGAGTTCTAATAAGGAGACCATGAGGTGCTATGGACTGAATTGTGTCCCCTCAAAATTCTGATGCTGAAGCCCCAGCCCCAGTGTGACCATATTTGAAGAGAGGGTCCTTGGTAAGTCATTATATGGTTAAGTGAGGTCATAAGGCGGAGCTGTAATCTGACAGGATTAGTGTCTTTATATGAAGAGGAAGAGAGAAAAGAGCTTGCTCTCTTTGCTGTGTGACGTTACATGGAGGAGGTAGATGTCTGTCAGCCCAGAACAGAGCCCATGGGCTCTCATTTGGGCTTCTCAGCCTCCAAATCCACAAGGAAACAAATGCCTATTGTTTAAGGCGCCCGGTGAGTGGTCTCTTACAATGGCAGCTACAGCTGACAAACCCAGGGGAGTCACCCATTCTCTCCTGAGATCAGTGGGAGACCAGGTCCATGCTTTGTAGCAGGTGTGGAATTTGGGCAGGAAGGTCTTGGGGTGGACCAGTCATAACAATGACAATAACGGGAGTCCTATAGTGAGTGCTTGCAATGGACTGGATACTGCTCAGGGACCCTCTGTGCTACCTCATCCACTCCTTACACCAGCCCAATTATGACAGAAGCATTGCGACCTGTTTTACAGGTGAAAAAATGGAGGCCCAAAGAGGTAAAGTAACTCATACAAGGTCACTCCATGGTGGCCAAGCTAGGACTCCAGACATCAGGATTTCCGGACCCTGCTATTGCGGAAGAGGGGGCCCACCCTCCCAGGTCCCTGGAAGAGTGTGGAGATAGTCCAAAAAGTTCAGGAGGAAACCCTTCAACCCAGTAAGGTGCCCTGTGCACTGCACAGTGTGGGAATGGTACTTACTGGGCAGCCTGGGAGGACCTGCTGCCCCCAGGACACAGGTGGACCACGTGGCTTCCTGTCCTAGCCCCCTGCAGTCTAGGCCTTTGTCCTTCACGGGACCCCCCGTCACTCTAATTCTTCCCCATCTGCTTCAAATATGCCGAGGAGGTCAATACTCTTTCAGCACAGGGCCTCTGTCCCTATAATGTGTATTCCCAAGCCCACCATCTCCCAGTGGCAGCCATCACCAGCAAACTTGTCTCCTGCTTTCCATGTCCCCTTGCAATCCACTCAACATACAGCAGCTTAAACACATATTCCCCAAACACAAACCAGAGCACATCACACCCTTGCTTACAAAGCCAACCAGCATCTCCCTTTACACTTACATTAAAACCCCAAATCCAGACCTTGACTTATAAAAATTTTGTGGGATCAGCCATGCCCACTTCTAGCTCCCACCATCCCAGATGGCTCCTAATATTAGTTCCTTGAACAAGCCTAGCTGGTCCTGCCTTGGGGCCTTCCTGCTTGCTATTCTCTCCTCCTGGAACACTTCTGCACTCAAATCTTTGCAGAGGCTGACTCTTGCTTGGGTTCAGGTCTGAGCTCAAAAAAGCCCTCCCTGAGCACCTAGTCAAATGCTATCATGTCACTCTGTCTTAATTCAATATACAGCACTCAGTCTACTTGACATTATTTTATGCTTATTCATTCATTATTCATTGTCTCTCTTCTCCTGTTACTGGAAAATACTCTCCATGAGAACAAGGATTTTGTGTATGTCGGTCAAAGTATGGGCAGTACCTAGAATGGGGCCTGCACGTGGAGGGCCCTCTCCTAGCTACAAAATGAATAAACACGAATGAATGACACAATCTTCTCAAAGACAGATTAGGAACTTGCCCCCCATATCCTCCAAATGCCCCTTATCTGTCTGGAGCCCCATTTAGTACCTCTCCCCCCACCTTTGGCCTGGAATAAGCCCCCCCAAAGCTCAAAGGGCTCCTCCGCCTCCCTAGCCATGCTAGAACCCAGTCCTTAGCCTGCTACAGGGTAGAAACCCCTTTAAAAGGGGTGTCCTCCAGCAGCCCAGGGCTCTGGGGTACCCAGCAGATGCTGGTGGGGCAAAGTCTGGAAGAACAATTCCCCATAACCCCATGCAGCTGAGGTCCTCCCTTGAGCTGGCCATGGCCCTTGTTGCCTAGGAAATGCCTCTCTAAGGAACAGCTAGATTAACTCTTTCATGGCCAGGAGCACAGCGGACTCTGTGCTAAAGGCCCTGAACATTTCCAGAGCAGAAGCTCAAGCTCTTCTTTATGGTCCCACAAACCTGTAAGAGTTAGAGTAGTTGAGGGATTGAAGGACAGGAGGAAATAGGCTACCAGGGCCAGCTCTCCCTGGTAAATATAACCCAATCGCCCAAGCCCTGGGAGTGAGAAAGTCCTGAGTCCTAACCCCACAGCCTACATCAGTTTCTAATCCAGGGCCTGTAGAGGAGCCGGACACCAGCCCCTGCACTATGCTTGGACCAAGTAATCCACGTTCCTCAGCCAGTTCACCAAATACATGTGACAGAGCTGGGGGGAAAATGATCATACCTTAATTCTTGGCTTTCCTACTTATTAATTGGGTATGTTAACCTCTTTCTCATCTGGCTTTTGAATGCCACTGAAAATGCCCTTGTCAAGGTTGCCAATGGCTTTGATGATCCAAGTTCTCATTTATTTCTCTGACCCTTCCATATTTTATGGTCCTCTCAACCTTTTTCACCCTGCCCCACCCCTAGTCTTGCATCTCCTATTATTCCTTCCCACATCTTATTTATTTGATCGAACCGGTTTTCAGTTTCTTCGCCCAATGTCATCTCAAGAAGGGAGGTTTTTGGTTTTTTTCCCCCTCTGTCTTGTTCATTATAACAACTCCAGGCTTAAAATAGTGACTGACACATGGAAGTTACTTGAAGATGGATTCCAGAAAAACTAGGGTGAAAACAAAAAAGAAGAAAGTACGGTATCCTGGAAATACCTATATGTGTCTAATCAAAGAGAGCAGCAAAGGGAAGTCCCATGATAATTTCTGTGTAGCAGCTAGCCTAGACTAGAGCAGGAATAAAAATCTAGAAGGGCTTCTTCTAGGAAAAAATAAGTGGGCTCCATGTGATAGACAGTAAAATCGAGGTACAGTATGCTTTGGGCAGTAAGACAAAGAAAGGCAATTAGAAGCCCCAGGAAACACTAAAAGTTGCATTTTTAAAACTCTTGAACTCAGAGCCAGGGATTTAGCTCAGTAGCACCGTGCCTGCCTCCTTGCAAGCACAAGGCCCTGAGTTTGATCCCCGGTACCAAAAACAAACAAACAAAGAAAAAGTCTTGAATGCAATATTAAGTAATTGAATGTATGGCACAATTTACATAAGAAAAGGAAAACGTCTTGCTGCAAAGATCATTCTTCTTTGAGTGACTAGGGATCAAGATAACAGACCAATGAGAAAAAAAAAACAAAGATAACAGACCAATGGATGGGCTAGGGATTTAGCTCAATGATACCACACCTGCCTGGCAAGCGAAAGATCCTGAGTTTGATCCCCAGTACCAGAAGGAAGGAAGGAAGAAAGGAAGGAAGGAAGGAAGAGAGAAAGAGAGAAAGAAAGAAAAGAAAAGAAAAGAACAATAAATGGAATAGAAGTGGAATCCTAGCATATAACTTGGCCCTGAGGAAAACAGTACTTATCTAATAACAACTAACATTTACTGAGGGCCTATGGACCAGGTAAATGTTATCCTTACCCATATTGTACAAATGAGGAAGATGAGGCCTCAAATAGTAGACAAGTTTTCTGAAGTCATGTGGCTAAATGTAAGAGGTAGATTCATACCCAGACTCTGACCTAGAAGTCTACTTCCTAAAGCTGATCTAGAAGCCAGGCCATCTTCAGACCTTGGTTCTGAGCATCCCAAGTGCATGCACACGGGGGTGCACAAACACAGACATGCACACACATTCCTAGGAGTCTCTGTCTCTGTCTGTCTTTCTCCCTCCCTCTCTCTCTCTCTCTCTCTCTCTCTCTCTCTCTCTCTCTCTCTCTCAGGAGACAGGATGCAGAGCCGTAGAACAGCAGAGCTGATCCAGACCGAGTAGCCAGAATGCCAGAGCTGGAGCAGGGTCTTACCTTCCTGCAGTCTCTGCAGAACACTGATGAGCTGCCCAGGAAGCCCAGCACCTCCCCACACAGCAGACACTGGGAGAGGCCGTTCCCCATCACGTTTTGCCTCATGGTCTCCAGCCGCTCCACCAGCCGCCTGCAGCACAAGACAAGGAGTCAGTGGGCATGTGCTTCCTGTCCCCAACCCAACCACTGCCTGGGCATGGCCACCACAGACTCTCAAGACTATGTCACATGAGCTGTTCCTTCAACTAGGGTACTGACCCATGCCCCCCAACTCCTAATCATTTATTCTCTCATCAACTATTGAATACCTAGGGTACGCCAGATACTGGGAAGATTGCAGCAAACAAGCCAGAGACAGACACAGCCCTTGTTCTCACAGAACTTATGCTCAATAAGGGAAAAAAAATCCATAAAAAAGTAAATAAGCAAGCTGGCTTCTGACAGGGAGCTGCATGTGAAATGTAGATAGCGGGGGGGGCGGGGAAGACGGGGCAAGAGGCACATTAGCTGGTACCAAGGTAGGCTCTCTGAGAACACAAGGACAGAGAGGGGAAGGATGGCAAGAACGCAACCATGTGGGCTGGGAATTTAGCTCAGTGGTTCCGCCGCCTGCCTTGCAAGCATAAGGACCAGAGTTCGATCCCCGCCGGCACCAAAAAAAAAAAAAAAAAGAACGCAACCATGTGACACAAAAGCTGGGAAGCCTCCAGGGGGAGGAACAGCAGGTGCCAAGGCTTGGGCCAAGAAGAAGCCACCAGGAAGGAGGCTACCAAGACCTAGGGAGGCAGGGATTTAAAAAGAAGAAAAGCACAGTGAGACAAGAGGAGCAAGCCAGGGCATATTATATAGGTTTTACAGGTCACAAAATGGAGTCTAGGTTTTCTTTTCTTTTCTTTTTTTTTTTCCCCTAAACTCAATCTGAAGCCACTGTAGAGTTCTAAGGAGGGGAGTGATTCGATCTGAGTGACATCTTTGCAAGCTCACTCTGGCTTCTGTGGAAAGCTGGAATAACAGGGAGGAGGCAGAGGGAAGGAGGCCAGTAGGCAGCTGTGGATGGCTGGGAAGGAGGATGAGACAGCATCGATGGCTGGGGTGGGGCAGGTGAGAGATCCAGGATGACGTGGAGGCTTTGGGTCTGAGCACCTGGGCAGGAGAGAAAAAACAGCTCCTTCTTGACACCCTTAGAGACCGAGCATCCAATGGGGTTACCAGGGCCCTGCTCGGCCTGGGCAAGTTCCTCTCCTCAGGTCCTACAGGCCCTTGTCACACTGCCACCCCTGCCACATGAACAATGTCCACAGAAGTGTTCTGGTGTGTCAGCCACTGTATTTCCAGGATCCAGCAGACACTCAGTGAAAACTCTTGAACGCACGGGCATTTTATCTCCCCCAAGTGTCATAGCCCCCAGTGAGAAGGATGCCACATGTCCCATTTTAAAGATGAGAAGGCTCAGAAACATGAAGTCACTTGCTGGGGTCACAAAGTTCCCAAAGAGGTGAAGCCAGGGTCTACTCCTAGGCCTGCCTAGCCCAGCACCACTCCCTTCACAGCCCCACACTGTCTCCCGGGCTGATGCTGCACTCTGCTGGGCTGCAGGACAGCAGCCCTCCACCCACATGCCCTCCAGCAGCACTTCTGGTTTTCATGGGGTCACAGCCCCAGCCCTGGCAGGACCCATTTGTTCTTGGGGACCCTCTGTCAGTCTACCTCATGTCTCCATGCCTCATATAAACAGATGCACCTCCCCCTCTGAGCAATTAACTGGCACCACTGCCTTCTGGTCATCCTATGCCCTGGGTGACTAAGCCCTCACAGTGGGGCTAGAAATCAGGACTCTGGAAGGCAGTTCTGGGTAGGTAGACAGCACCTCAAGGTGCTGTCCAGAGCACAGAGGAGCCCCCAATGAAGTGCTCCCCACCCATCCACTCCCTGTTCACCCTCCTAGGGCAGCTAGGAGCTCAGGTCAGTCACCCACATTGCAGGTCACCTGAGAGCCTGGCAGGGGTGGAGCCCAAGGAGGGTAGATGGCATAAAAGAATATTCCAACAAATCTGATCTAAGCTCTTCCTGTACTAAAATGATAATGATCCATCTATACTATTAAGGCACACACAAGGGACTGTTAGAACAGCAGTCATCTCTATAGTAGTTGGTACCTTTACCTGCCAAAACTGTGGGTCTCTACAATGTCTCATGTTTAAAAATGATCATATAATCAACAGAAAAAACAAGGAGACCAGAATGGAACGAATTTCTGCCCAAGGCAATACAATGAGATTGTGTTTTCCTACCTGTGCCTTTCTGTATTTCTCAGATTTTCTAGGAAAAAGGAATTGCTTTTATAATGAAATAAATAAAAAGACACAACAAAAAAGTTGGACAACTGAGTTGTGTTCAACTCTGAATGTCAGAAGACAGGAAAGGAACCTTGAACACTCTGGAGGACACCTCCTGCTGGGGCCTTGGGGGACTGTTCACTGGTCAGCAGCCACGTGAATCTGTCCCTTGGCTGAGCCACAGCTGGAGGGCAGGTGTGTAGAGCCCAACAGCCCCCACAGAGGGCCTCCGGGCTCGTTCCTGACCAGGAGCTTGGGACCCATGCATCAATCCTTGTCCTTAGCTTACAAACAGGCACACTGAGGGCTTGAGGGTCTGTACACTTGCCTGTCCCCCAGGTGTCTGCCAGAGCAGCTGGGGCCCTCCTGACTCATGCTCAGTGCACCAGTGTTCCCTCCAGCTGGGCTCCCGCTGAGTGCCCTTGATTTCTTCCCACCAGCCTGGCTGCTGCCTGGTGCAGCCAGCCCTTACCCGATTCTCTGCTGCTCCAGGGTGTCCAGCCGCTCGGCCCTCTGGATGACCTGCAGGATGGCCTCCATCTCGGCTGGGCTGAGGCGCTGGCTCCTCCTCTGCTTCTCGGTCTGGTAAGTGTGCACAGACCAGCCTGTTTGCAGCCTCGGGAGAGAAGGACACTGGTGGTGGTGAGGACACCCCAGGGTGAAGCTGGTGCCCCCACAGCATCCATAAAGCCCCTGGGAATGGTCTGGGGACAGCCAGGCACTGGAGGTGCAGGGCTCATGATGAGAGTTCCTGAAGGCCTAGGCAAATGTCCACCACTGGGCTTCAGCATCATGAGAGTCAGCACGAGATGCACTGTCTCCTCTCAGAATGGAAGTCTCCAGAGGGCCAGGCCCTAGCGCACCTGGCCCCAGCCACCTCCATCTTCCTTTCATACCATTCACCCCTTATTTTCTCCACTCAAGACACACCAGCCTCCTGTCAGGGCCTCTACATGCCATGTTCTTTCTACTTCAGGGCCTTTGCATATGCTATTGAACTTCCTCTATATTCCAGCTAACATTTACTCCTTTTTACAGGTCTCGATATAAGCATCACGCTTGCAGAAAGGTGTCTGCTGATCCCCCAGACTAAGTTAGCACACATGTCCCCACTACCAATTACCCCCACATGTCCCCCACATGTCCCCACTACCGATTACCACTGTCGAAGCAGCTACACATGGGGAAGTATTTGTATAATGCTCATCTCTCCCCATCTCTGCTTGAAGACAACAGACTGTGTTGGTTTTGTTCACTGCTGTTCAACCAGTGCTTGGCACATAGTAGGGGCTTAGGAAAGGTTAGGTGCTGGCCAAAGACTCTGCACTGGGGCAGAGAAGAGAGCTCTCCGGACTTCCTGGACGGTCCCATAGGCACAGCTCAGCCTTGCAACCCTGGCATTTATAATCACCCTTCACGGAGACTGTCAGGCCTTCTAGACAGCACACCCCAAGGAAGAGACAAATGTGTTCACTCTTCTGGAAGGTGCTACAACAGCTTTTGGTTGCCACTGAGTGAGAACTGAGGCCAGGGACGAAGGGACACTGGAGGGGACAGGAGGGCCACATAGGCCCTTATCCAGAGTGTGTGCAGCTGAATTCTCCCCACCAATATGTGCTCTGCCGGGAGGACACATCAACCATTTGGCATCAGAAGAGAGGAAGGGACTGACCTCGGCCTTGGTCACTTTCCCTGCAGGGGTTGGGTGAGGGAAGCTGAAGGGAGCTGAGCCATCAGGCAAAGGGGACAAATTAACTGTGAGGCAAAGATTCCTGCAAATCATGCATGAAGCCACTCATCTTGGGCGTTTCAGATTAATTTTACTGTCCCCCTTTGATGTCCTGGCTCTGTCCCCCTGCAGGCTCATAACATCTAATTGCAAATTTCTTAAACTTGGTCCCAGTTGGGAAATGCTGGCTCCCTTAATTGGCACAGCTTGACAGATGCTGGGGTGCTCTTGGACTGATCAGACACCAGGGACCTCAGCCCCTCAAAGGGCTGGGGAGGGACCGGAAGGCAGGAGCCACTCTATCCCTCCAGACAGTGGGGACAGACAGTGTAGGGAGAGGGTGGATGGATCTAACCTCTAGGGAGCTGAGGGATCCCAGGCTCAGGGTTAACAGGAAAATTGGGACAGACCTTGGGCGAACTAAGGAAGGAAAGAGAGACACTGTCAAGAGCATGGGAGAGTCCTGAAAAACAGGCTGGTTGCGGCCTTGGCCGGAGGGGTAGCTCTCCCTGCCTGGAACAAGCCCATGCTTTCTGCTCATGCTGGGCACTGAGCTCTGTACTAGGCACCCAGAGATCAAAGGCTCCCTGCTTCCAGGGGCTTCCAGCCTTAAGGCTCAGTGACAAGAGAAGGGGCAGGTGAGGTGGTCTGGTTCCCTGGGCCGCTGTGACAGAGCACACCATGGGAGGTGGCCGGGCCCAGATGTATGTCCCAACCCTGTCATGCACAAGTTAGGTAACATGGGCAGAGAACTGCACCCCATTTTACTCATCTGAGCAATGAGGATAAACGCCACATGGATAAATGAGTGAAGTCCCTAACTCAAGGGCCAGAGTGTGGCATGCATTTAACAGGCACTTTTCTCCAAACTCTTCTATTCCCTGGGAAAGAATCTTGCCCAGGGGCCCTGGAGGTACTCACTTGGCTCTCAGGGCAAGCTGCCGATCATTGGGGCAGACCCACTGGTCATTCCCACTGCCGAAGATGGTGTCTGCCATGGCTCAGAGCACCCAGCCAGGGTCAGGAGTCACATCTGAGATAAGAAGAGGGAAAAGGAAAGAGAATGCCTTTGACTGGGGTGCAGATGCCAGACAGGGTCCCTCTGCACTCAGGCATCAGACACTTGGCACTTCCAACCTATCCCCGCACACTGTCTCCTGCTGACACCTGGACTCTCATTCCTCCAGCAAAACATAGCTCCCTCAAAGCTCCTTTTCCAAAGGCCCAGCAGGTGGATCACATGGCTAAACAACCACAATGGACACAACTGGCAGGACATCAAAGGGTGAGAATCAGGAGAGGAGAGGCCCAGCCTCCATAATCATCAGCTGGCTGGCCCTGGAGGGCACTGGATCCATGCTCTCCTCCAGCACAGTCCCTGCAGCACTGAGTAAGCCCTGCCCAGCAGGAGGGGCCCAGGTGGGAAACAGCCAGCCAGGCCAAACCCTAACCTGCACCCAAACACAAGGGACTCAGAATGGTAGCCCCAGGCATCCATGCTCTGCTCCACAGGAGGTTGACATCAAAGGCCACTGTATTTTTTGGAGCAGGGAGGAAGGCAGTGAGGGGTGGCAGTAGCCAGGACCTCCACTGGCCACAATTCCAAGGGGCACTGTCCACAGGGACTGCCCTGGGATCCCACAGGGAGGGACCCTGCTCTAGAACCACTTGATGCCCTAACGTGAGCATAGTCTAGCTTAGCTGGCTTTCTCCTGGCCATAGACAGGACCAAACCCTTTGATGATCTATCATGAAGATGCTGCTCATACATTCTGAAGAGAGAGTGTGTATGTGTGTGCCTGTGGGTGTGTGTGCTGGGGGGAGAGAAAAGAGGAAAAAGATATGAGCCTGGCTGGAGGTGAGCAGGATGAGGCATGACTGCTAAGAGGTTCAGGGTTTCTTAAGTGGTAGTGATGGTTGCCCAATTCTGTGAATACATTAAAACCACTGAATGTCATGGTATGTGGATTACAACTCATTAGATACTATATATATATGTATATATATATATATATATATATACATATATATATATAAAATTTTATTTTTTTCAGTGCTGGAGATCAAACCCAGGTTCTTCTGCTCACTAAGCAAATGTTCTACCACTAAGCTACATCCCCAATTCAGCTATACAAAAAAAAATTTTTTTTAAATTGGGGATTCAACCCAGGACCTTTGCATTGAGCCACATCTCAGCTCTATTTATTTATTTATTTATTTATGAGACAGGGTCTTGCTAAGTCACCCAGTTACCCAGCCTGGTCTTGAACTTGTCATCCTCCTGGTTCAGCCTCCTAGAGTCTTGCAATTACAAGCATGTGCCACCAGGTCTGGTTTATAAAAATTTTTCAGGGATCCAAAACTATATACGCTTTGAAATTGATATTTAACATATTAAAAATTAAAAGCAAGAAATTAAAAAAACTTTTGTTAATTCATTAAATATAATAAACCCAATAAGTATTCACATAATTTATATATTTTATGAAAAAAAACTTTTCAAAAACAATTCATGCAAAGAATGGCACTGTTTTGCATTTTTACAACTCTATTTCATTTTTAGCTTAAGAAAAAACAATTGGATATTCCTATCTGATTTTTCATTCAATCTTTTGTGTGATATGTTGTTTTGTCAAAGTCCACAGAGGACATTCAGACTCTCAGATATGTAAGAAAGTTGGAAAGGGGAGGAATACTGTAATAGCTTTCCTAGATAATTGTAGGTATTTTTCTTTGATATTGCACCCAAACTCAATAGATGGCAGTTTCTTAAAGATTAGTTTCAATGTGGCATCTGAAACCAGATCCATGAACTTTTCATTTTCTGTACACTTGTGAGAGAATATAGCTGGGTGTTTTATAACAATGAGACAAATAGTTTTGACTTCAATGGGTTCCTGAAAGGCAAAGAGGAGCCCCCAGAGATCCTTGGACCATGATTAGAGAACTGCTCTTCCAGACCAATGTTGGCCACTGCCATGGTGACCAGCAGGGGGCAGCATGCAGACTGCAGCTAACTGACCCACTAGCGTCCAAGGGTATGGTGACCTTAACGAGGCTGACTTCTATCCCACAGGCACACCAGGCACCTGCTTTTCCAGGCTGGACCTGCCATTTCACAGTAGGAAAGAGACCCATGCAACTTCGAGCCCCAAAGAGCCAGGTGTGGAGACCCTTGGACAGGCCCAGGGCTGGCCACAGTCACCAATGGCTCCCTCTGTCACCTCAGGACCTTCTCCCAAAGAGGCTGACACACTGATGTGGTCCAAATTGACATGTTGATCAAACAACTGTAAACCTATGCCCCACCTCTCCACCCTTTGGTACACTGGGGTCTTCTGGTTTTTTTATTTTGTTTTTAAATTCCTGTTATCTTGTGAATATCACAGTCACATTGTTGTGTGGGTGCAAAATGTGTTACTCTGTTCAAAGTAAACATTTTAGATATACTACAATTCTGGCTGCCCTGTTTTGTTGTTGTTGTTGTTGTTGTTGTTGTTGCTGTTTTCCTATCTCTTTTTTTCTCCAATAAATGAACCCTCATCAGAGTAGAGTGGTCTCCTTGATCCTGGGTAAACCAGGTGCCCAGGAAGCTCACAGGCAGTGGAGCTCCTGCCCCAACCTGCAGGTGGTGCCATCGCCTGGGCCACTGTAACAAGGATGAACAGCCTTGAGCCTTCTTGCCCATTTTTCCTTGTGGCTGGACAGAGTAAGGGTAGAGGTAACCCCTCTGCTCTGCTAGGCACCCCACAGAAGCAGGGGCACTACAGGGGTGATCCTGGAAGCAAGCCAGGGATCCTTAGTGCTAACAGGAAGATCCCACTTCTGCAGAAGCTTCTGAGTCAAAAGACCATGGTGCTATGGGGAGAGACAGGAGGAAGAAAAAGAGACCTGACCTTGCTACTGAAACTGTCATCTCAGTGATGGTGGGGATGGGTGGGGTGCCCAGGAGAAGGCAGCCCTGAACACAGGTGGAAAATGCTCCTCACAGCCCCAAAACGGTCACCTCCAAATGCATCTCTAGGGAATTAATCCCCTGTCCCTTTTGGGTTACTTCCTATTGGGAGCACAGTTCTGGGCTCACTGGCAAGGGAACCCTCGAACCAACATTAACTGGTCCTCTGATCCAGTGGGGGACAGGGGTCTATTCCTTTAAAATATTCTTTTAACTTTAACCAAAATATGCATTCAATCTGTGGCCACCCACAGGCTATTCTGTTCTTCCTAAATCTAATCATTATTCTACTGGACAAATGAGAAGAGAGAGAGGTTAAGAGGATGACAAAAGACCACACAGCTAACCATGCAGGTCTACCAGCTTTCAGGCCAGTGCTACTTCCTCTGCTTCACTTCACCTTCTGTCCTAAGCCCGGGCGGGGGGTGGGGTGGGGTGCTTTCTGGCAGTGAGGAAGGTACAAAGAACAAGACCAGTGCTTGTCTAGCTTTTGTACAAACACACTAGAAGTCCAGGGATGAGTCAGTGATCTTCTTGGGGCTTCTCTTTCCCCTTTGGTACCTGAGGGAACTGAGGTGGACAGGCTGGAACAATTGTCCTCTGTAATTCCAGCCCCTAATTCTGACCCGCTGACTTGCATGAGAGAAGCAAGGGAGGCAGGCTGGGGACTGGAGAATGGTCCTGGGCAGGAGGCAGGGGGCTGCCCCAGCCTGGGAGGTGGTGACTGACCCCTGGCCCAACCTAGGCCACAGTGGGTGGAGGAGGGTGGTGTGACTAATGTGTCCTCCACACCCCCCACCCTTTTTACTGCTGGAGATTTGGGGAGAGAAGCCCACAGAGTTAAATTCTACAGAGAGATCAAGGGAGATGAAGAATGTCATCTCCCTGGTCTGGGGCCATGGCACTGGCTTGGCAGCTTCACCTCAGATGGCAAATCTGTGGTCGAGCACAAAGACAGGGGTGGCTCTGAGCAAAAGTCAGAAATGAGAATGCAGGCGAATTCAGGCCCGGGCTCTAGGACTGCTGTGCCCACCCTGGACTGCGTGTGGCTGGCACCTTGGAAAGCACAGCTGTCCTTCTCCCACAGAGCAACCTTGGGACAGATGGGGGAGAGGAAGGGCAATTCAGAGGCACATTTTAGGAAACTGCCAATGGAGCCAGCTTAGATTCTCCAAACCTCTTCAATGTGAGCTGGCTGCCAGCTCCCTGACTTGGCAGTGGATGAGGGCCTCCCCAAACAACCCTTGCCCCTGGCTCCCGGTCCTCCCTTTACCTGGGAGTCCTCTGTCAAGCTGTGTGCTCACCAAACCCAGCTCACATCCTGGGCTCTGCTCCTTGAGGAAGGTTTTGAGCACACGGGTAGGGAGTACAGTCCCTACCCTCTTAAGATGTGTACCCTTAAAACTTCTAAGTAGTAATACTATATGCATTAAATATGTGCTATGCCCTTGTATTAATGGGAGGTATTTAATTTATGAGGAAACAAAACAGGAGCTTTTTGAGAAAAGGTGGGTGAAAGAGCAGGGAGGTGAACCTGTCACTTCAGTGGGGAGGGATGGAACTGGGCTGCAGGGAGACAGAGGCAAGATCTGTAGACAGGGGACTGGCTGGGTAGAGCTCTGGTCACTTCCTCTATAAACCAAGGAGAGGAGAGGTGGCACCCAGGGTCTCTGAGGTCCTCCTAGCTGTGATAGGAAAGAGGCTGGAGAAGCAAGGTACATGCATGTGTGTGTATGTGTTCAATGAACACAGACCAAAGATGCTGCTTGGGCAGACTCATCTCACTGGGACCTAGCTCAGAGGTCATTTTACTGATGTGACATTTCCATCTCCTCTTCCTACTAAGCTGCAGTGGAGGCTACATCCTCCTCTCTCCATCCCCAGAGCCCAGTACAGGGCCTGCTGCAAAGTAGGTGCACAGCACTAAAATGAACTGCATTTCCTCAGAGAGATAGATGGCTTTTCCCAGAGGAGCAGGAATACAGAAAACAAACAAGCAAATGCTGCGAAGAGCAGACAGAGCAGGGACGGGGGCCCCTCTCTAACTTCTGCTGAGACTTGTTGACTCATAGGTAGTT